AGACAGCACCTAGAGACGGAACATGGCAAAAGATCCTGGACTGAACCTGACTACAGAAATTGGCAAGAGAACCTGACTAGAACCTGGTGACAGAACCTGGCAAGAGAACCGGGACAGAACTTGGCTAGAACTGGCTACAGAACCTGGCTGGAGACCCTGACAAGAGAACCCAGCTATGATGATCACCTGAAGGCTGCCTCCGTGTCATTCTTCTTCGCCAACTCCGTCCACACCTTTGGGAACCCCTGGACCTGCTGGGGTTGGCCCCCAGCAAACATGCCCCTCCTTTGCTTAAATCCTTCCAAGAGATGAGGAAGGAGATGAGCAAATGAACAAAAGTGAATGAGTGAGTTGGTGGCAGTTAGAACATGGAAAGCAATGACCACAAGGGGGAGACAAAGACAAGGAGAGAGAGAGCTTTTGCGGAAAAAACCACCCTCCTTCACCCTCCACACATATCAACACCCATGTACATAGCCCAGCTGAGGAGAAGCCTTGGGAACAGGAGAATACGGCTCCTCCTGGGCATCTGCTGCAGCCCCGTGGCCTTTCATGTTGGTGTATTCCGGCCTGAGACTGCAAAGTGCGCCTGTGCCCTGGTTCTGACTGCTCTGCCTCACCTGGCATGGCAGCAAAGGGCTCCTAGGCTTAGGAGGAGCCATTCCTCAAAGAACAACCATTCTCCTCAGACCCACAGTGTGTTAGGCACAGGAGCCTGAACACAGGCCCAACTCCCAGGAGCTTAATTCAGCAGGGACACAGGCCTAGGTTACCGCCGCCCCCTTGCCCCCCACACCTGTGTCATTGTGCCCAATATCAGGGTGAATACATTGATTGGCCTATTAAACTCTGTCCAAACCACCTGAGCTAAGTTGTGAAAGATGCGCGGGCTTAGCTGGGCTGAGAGTGGGTAGATTCCTGGCCCAGAGAGAGATCTGATCTCAGCTCCTGGGAGGAATGGAAGGAGGCCAGGGACCAGGAACACTGCTACTCGAAGTGTGGCCTGTGGATCAGCAGTGTCAGCAACAGCATCACCTGAGAGCTCATTACAAATGTACATGTCAGGCCCCACTCCAGACCTGCTCAATCAGAATCTATGGGGTGAGCCCAGGAATCTGTGTTTTAACTAGGCTTCCGGGTATGGGCTTTGAGAAGCATTGGACTAGAGCTGAGTGAGCAGGAAGAAAGGCAGAGGTGGGAATGGAGATAAGGTTTTGGTGGAATTAGAGGAACGGGGCACAAGTAGGCCTTTAGGCCATGGTAAGAACTTCGAATTCTACCCCCAAAAGCAATAGATTTCAGGGCTTCAGCAGCCAAGTGCTCAGTCAGGTTCCTATTGAAGATCAACTGCTGTGCAGAAATGGCCAGGAGATGAACAGGAGAAGAGGGGAACTTAAAGGGGAGGGTGCAGTGGTTTGTGCTGAAAATGCCAGGGCCTGGACATGGGATGGAGACTGTGGAGGTGGAGAGAGAGACTAGAAAGAGAGCTATTCGAGAGCCAGTGACAAGGCGGCCAATCAACTCTCAGAGAGAGCGGGGAGTCAGGACTACACCCCAGTTCCAGCATTGATGGCAGGGTGTATGGGGGCCATCATGAAGACAGGGTCTACGGGAGAATCTCAGATGAAGGCATTGAGTTCAAATTCAGGCGGTTGAATTTAAGTGAGGAAGCCATGTGGGCAACCCCAATTTCCTTCAAGATATTGGGGAGAATGAACAACTCTGTCTGCAGGAAGCCAAATGTGACAATCACTAAGGAAGACCCAGGGGAACAACAGATGGATGATGAGATGGATGAAGAAACAACTCCACTCCAAAGGCTGGAATCTGAATCAGGTACTTTGAGGGACTGGGATGGAAGCATCATGACTTGGGATGGGAGAGGGAGAATGTGGAAGGTGAGCCCCACCATGCTCCTGCCTCTGGTGTGGGACATGGAAAAATGCCCACCTACAGGAACTCGCTCCATGCGAGATCTTCCACACCTAGACCCTGGGAACTGGCAAGATCTCTGCTTTCCTCTCTCCAGCCTCAAAGACTGAGGCTGTTCCTCCCCACAATATCCCTGGAGCATCTCAGACTCTGATCCATGGTCCAGTCTCCCAAGGTCCTTTGCATTGCTGCCCATCCATTTTTTTAGCCATGTTCCTTTCACAAGTTACCTTGCCATTGGAGCTTGGAATAGCAATATCTCTGTGCCAGTGGGAAGGAGGAAATGGGTAGGGTTGGGGTCAGAGGGCAGCAGTGTTGGGCCTCCTCAGATAGCTGCAGGCAGCCCCAGTATCGGGCACAGAGGATACAGACACACTCCCTGCCAATGTCCAGACAGACAAGCCTTGGGGAGGCCCCCTCCTTGGTATAGGCTAGGGATTGGGGGAGGCAGCCAGGAGCCCTAATGTTGACCATTGCCCTGCCTGTTCCAGAGGAGAGCTCCCAGCAAGTAGTACAGGCGAAGCCCTTCTGTCTGTCTCCTCCTGAACCCCTGGGGGACTTGCCAGGGAAATATATAGAGACAGATAATGACTTCTGGGGCCCCACAGGGCCTGTGGCTCCAGAGGTGGTGGACGAAGACAGGGGTCTGTACCGGTAAGTGAGGGGGCTCCCTGTGCCAGGCTGTCCCCCAACCCCTACCATCCCCTCACTGGGTCCCAACAGACACTCAACACCCCACTCATGGCATTGAGTACCCTCCCCCTGCCAAGTCACTAGGCAGAGACAGGGCTGAGATACTGGGTTGGTGCTTTTATTATGGAAATAGAGGTTTTATTATGCAAAGTTGAAAAAACAGCCTAAGGAACTTCCACTTACCCATTATTCAGCTTCAACAATCATTTTACCAAATTTGTTTTAACTATTCACTTTCCCCCTCTTTTGTAGTTATAGTATCTTATATCCATGATATCAGGTGATTTTACCCATAAATTTTTTGTGATGCATTTTGAAGAGTACAAATAAAGACTTTTTCTCCTATAACCACAATGCCATTATATCTGACAATATTTACAATAAGTCATTTTCATATCATCTAATAGCTACTTTGTAGTCAAATATGCCCAATTGTCCAAAATGTGTCTATGTAGGTGGTTTGTTCTAATCAGGATCCAAACAAAGTCCACTGGTTGCATTTGGTTTGTTATGTCTCATAAATCTCATTCCATCTACCCATTTCTGTTTCATTAGCATCTGCTATGTGCAAAGTACCATACCAGTAACAAGGGCCATGAGATGAATATGGCAGCCTGCCTTCCAACGGTTCCCAATTATAAGTAATAAATGTCTATAATCTTAGTTCTGATCTCTTACATAACACATTCCCACTCACTGTCACGGACATGATCTCAAAGAAATGGAATATTACTCCAAACTTACACACACAGAAGGTGACATCCCAGGAACCCACTCTTTACCAATGGGGACCTGGGGAAAGTCTCTGTAATATCTCTGCAAGTGTTTTTTTCAGCTCTAAGTGGTTATCAATAATATCACCATGTACATTTTTATTAATTATTGAAAAATATGCCCTTTCAAAACAAGAAAATTTTCCTATTTTATTATTAACTAGCGGTCTGGCGCATGAAATTCTTGTACAGGTCAGTCCCTAGGCCTGGCCTGCGATCAGGGCCATCTTCCCAAGCTGCCCTTGGCTGGCCCCGCCCCCCGCTGCCACCCAACCCCGATTACCCATTCACCATCAGGTGATCGGTGCTCGACAGCTGAGGGAAGGGACCGAGAGGTGGTCAGTGCACCTCACAGTGACTGGTTCTGGTCGTACTGCCATCAAGGTCAATTTGCATATTACCCTTTTATTATATAGGATACAGGCCTGGTGCATGGGTGGGGTCCATCTGGCCTGCCCTGAAAAGGGTCCCAAATTGGGGTGGCAGGAGCCTGTAGTGGGGCGGGGCCACCGGGGCAGGGGCCATGGGGTTGCAGGCCAGCCTCATCCCCTATCAGGATAGGGGTCCCCACTGGGGGCAGGGCTGGCCTGGGTTTGGAGCCTGGGCCAGTTTTCAGGCTGGTCACACCCCCGATTGTGGTAGGGGTCCCCTCTGGGGGTGGGAATGGCCTAGGCGAGGAGCTGAGGGCTGTTTGAAGGCTGGCCATGGCCCTGATTGGGGTGGCAGGTCCCTGCTGTGGGCGGAGCGGCCTGGGCGAGGGGCCTGAGGTGGTTTGCAGGCTGATCATGCCCCCAATCAAGTGGGGGAGTCCCCGGTTTGGCGTGGGGCTGGCCTGGGCAAGGATCCGAGGGCGCTTTGCAGACCAGCCAAGACCCCGGCTTTGTCAGGATGGACGTCAGGAAGGTTGGCCAGAAGATGTCCACTCTAATTAGCATATTACCCTTTTATTAGTGCAGATAGTATTATTATTATTCCCTTTATCATCACCATTATAGAAACAGCTCACCACCCCCAGGCAGATATTAAGCTGTCAGCATACATTAGGTCACTTATTACTCACAATTATATTAGATGGTGCTAATATTACTTTTATTTACAAATAAGAAAACTGAGATTAGGGAGATTCAATGACTTGCTCAAGAATCCACAGTAGATAGCAGAGGAGCCAAGACTCCATCCCTCTGGCTGTCACATCTGAGCTTGAAGTCATTCTATGAGATACACAGTGTACTGCATGGGTCGGGTACCCAGTAGATAGTCCGTGAGCTTGTGTAGAGTAATTAATTCAATGTCTACCTCTCTCTGCTATCCCCAGAGTTCACTTCCCTGTGGCTGGTTCCTACCACTGGCCCAACGTGGGTCTCTACTTTGTGGTGAGAGGGCCAGTGACCATTGAGATTGAATTCTGTGCTTGGGACCAGTTCCTGGACCAGATTGTCCCACGGCACAGCTGGATGGTTGCGGGGCCTCTTTTTGACATCAAGGCTGAACCAGGAGCTGTGGCAGCTGTGTACCTCCCTCACTTTATAGCCCTTCAAGGTGAGTGAGAGGGAGGTGTGAGGGAAGGTGATGGTGGTGAGAATGGGTCTAAAATGGCTTCCAATGGTTTTCAATATCCTGAGGGGAGTTTGTAGCTTCCTTAGACAGACTGACAGAAAGTTGTAGAAGGGCAGCAGCTTTCTTTCTCATTTGCTCTGGGCATATCTGTTTTGAAACATTGTGTCCCCAAGTATCATAATTATTTTTGCCTGAATTACTAGAAAGTTTCCCTCAATAGAAAGTGGTCTCCTTGCTCTCACCAGATTGGCTCAGTGGATAGAACGTCGGTCTATGGACTGAAGAGTCCTGGGTTTGATTCCGGTCAAGGGAGCATGCCTTGGTTGCGGGCTCAATCCCTGGCCCTGGTCGGGGCACGTGTGGGAGACAACCAATCGATGTGAGACATCAATGCTCTCATATCAATGTTTCTCTCTGTCTGTCTCTCCCCCACTCTCCACTCTCTCTGAAAATCAATGGAATAATATCCTCAGGTGAGAATTAACCGAGAGAGAGAGAGAGAGAAAGGGAGGAAGGGAGAAGGAAGGAAGAAAGAGGTCTCCTCAATAACAATAATAGCTGTCATTTATTAAGTTCTCCTCACGTAGATTGTATCATTCAGGTTCCCAGCGAAAATATATGATATATTCATTTGAGATTTTTGAAAAGACTTTTCAGAGACAAGACCATTTGAAAAGTAAGGCTAAGTAAACGAACAAGAAAGGTTGGGCCACTTAAAAATTAACAACAAATGGGAAGTGATTGCTACTACTACAGGCAGGGAGGAGAAACAGTGTCACCAGACTCCATATGAGAGCTCAAGCCACAAAAGAAGAGCATTTCAGTAAGAGACGTAGTCATAGAGCAGTGATGGCGAACCTATGACACACGTGTCAGAGGTGACACCTGAACTCATTTTTTTAGTTGATTTTTCTTTGATAAATGGCATTTAAATATATAAAATAAATATCAAAAATAATTTTTTGTTTTACTATGGTTGCAGATTTCAAAAAATTTCTATATGTGACATGGCACCAGAGTTAAGTTAGGGTTTTTCAGAATGCTGACGCGCTGAGCTCAAAAGGTTCACCATCACTGTCATAGAGTTCAATGGTTATCTGAACCTCTCTCACCTCCAAAGACTTCCCACAGAAAAAGTTCCAAAAAATATAAAGTTCACAATCAAAACCTCAGAAGCACTGAAAACCAACAGAAACCTCAACCAGATATCAGTCCCATAAAGACCTCAGACAGTGCTCGCTTCGACAGCACATACACTAAAATTGGAATGATACAGAGAAGATTAGCATGGTCCCTGCAGAAGGAGGACACACCAATTCATGAAGCGTTCCATATTTTTTAAAAAAAGACCTCAAACATTAAATTATCAAAAGGAGAATGCAAACTAAGTATGTTTCTTATGCTTAATGAAATAGTCCTTAAAATATGAGCAAGAAACAACAAACCACTAAAAATGACAAATCAAGTTTGAAAATAAGCTTAATTGACAGAAAATATGATAAAGTATAGATAAGAATGGATTAAGTGACATGGAAGATACCAAGAGGCCTAATATACATCTAATCAGAATTCTAGAAGGATATTATAGAGAGAATGGAAAATGTAATATTCAAAGAGAGAATTTCTAAGAAATTTCTATAATTGCTGTAAGAAGGGGAAATGCCAAAAATTCAAAGCAGGAAAGAGGAACAGAGAGAAATCAGCAGTAGACCCACTGAAGTGAATCTACAGAATGCAGACATCTAAGGGCAGGTTTTAATAGCGGCAGAAAGATTATGGAGCAAGGTACTGCCATTAGGATGACAACTGATTTTGAACAGCAACAATAGAAGGCCACAGAAGACAATGGAATGGAAACCTCGAAGTATTAAGCAAATAACTGTTAATCAAGAATTACAACCACAAAAAAATTATTTAATAAGTAGGTAAATTAGACATTTTAAGACAAACTAAAACCAAGATATCTTTCCACAAATACTTACTGAAGGAAACCTAAAGGATGTAACTCAAGCAAAAGAAAACTGATCTCATACAGAAGGTGTGCGGTACAAGATGAAATAATCAGCAAAGACACTGACACACAACTGGGTAAAACTAACAAACCAATGACTGGATAAAGCAACAGTAATAATGTCTAATGTGTGGGGATTTTAAAGAGAGAGAGAAAACTAAAATGTCAACAGAAATAGCAAGTAGAGTGTTAAAAAATACAAAGGACTTAGTGTATAATTCACAAGAAGGGTGAAGGCCGCATTAGAACTCCCTTCTGGGTTAAAATGCTAAGATATTTCCATCCTGATCAGGAAAGAGAAATTCTCCCCCTTTTTGAGACCACAAGTGGCCTGACAATGTCAGCCAGTGTTGGCCACAGAGTCAAGTAATGGGCCTGCACATGTACAGGCTGAGGCGACACAGGCTTTCCAGTCCAGGCCATGAGTGGCATCAGATGCACCCCAGACAACGTTGACTGCCACAGAACTAATGTCTATCAATTTAATGTGAAAGTTGGAAGAACCTGATTCAGTTCCCCATGTCAAATCATGATTCAGACAGGAACTTTAATTATGATGGAACTAAAGATCTGGTGCAGGAATTCGGGCACAGGTGGGGTCCCTCAGCAATAACTTTTCTGTGGCTGTAATTCTTGATTAACAGTTATTTGATGTTCAGTGCACGTATAGCGAGTGATCGAACTCCAGGTCTCCCAGTCAAACTCCCAAGGAGACAATTTGCATACTAGCCTTTTATTATTTAGTATTATAGCACACTTCCAGTAGTTAAATCCATTCAGTATCATCTCCAGGTACAGGCATTGGTTTACTTTAGACTTTAAGTACACCCACTAAAATATTAGGATCCTCAGTCAAAAAACATATATGTATATAAGAAGAATTTACAAATTAGTAGAAACAAAAAAACAGAATAAGAAAACTAAAACAGCAAAGAACTGCTCAGACCCCGAAGAAGCTTATTTGTTGAGACCACAAGATTAAGTAAACAATTCAAGCTGCCCATTAGGAGGAGAGCACAGGCACAGGATCAACAAAGGCCAGTCCCAAGGGGAGAGACTCCAGGGTCCAGGGGCACCTGGCTTGGTAGACAGGGTCAGGAGGGAAGGGTGACCAGGGAAGATTCAGAAGTAAACCAGTGGTGGGGAGGTGTGAGATAGCCAGGACAATGGGTCAGCCTAGCAAGAAGGCAAGATGGATGCACACACAGCACCTTCCAAAATTCACACACACACACACACACACACACACACACACACTTAATAATAATGATCATCATCATAAATTTTTAAAATGAAACAGAATTCAGGCACAGAGTGTCTACAGTGCCGCAAACTGTGCTCTGAGAGCAGGGATCTCACCAAAGGCTGTAGGTGACTCGTGACCTTCTGAAAAGCACTTCCCTCCAGGGACTTCAGTTCACCCAACTAACACATGAGAATATTTCAGTTTGTGGAGGATGAGGTAACATCCACTTAGTGTCACCAAAGCAATGCAAAGTGCACCTCTTCATGGAGAAGCAATTTGGCAAAACCTGGCAAGTCATAGAATTGCTCACATCCTTTCACACCCTGTTCTCATTCCTTGGGACTTATCAATCCGAGGTAGCAGCTCAAGGGAAGCAGAAAAGTTCTCTGCAGAAACATGTACATTGCGGGACTATTTATCAGGGCAAAGAGGTGGAAGCAACCCCAACGCTGAAACCAGAAGCGGTGGACGAGGGACGCTGCATCCGCAGCAGGGATCATGCACTGCAGTCACTAGAAAGGCCCGCAGGCGCTTGCGACAATTTAAACCAGTGTGGGAAAGGCAGGAGACAAAGCTACATGACCAAAATGGAAACACGAAAAGGTGTTGCTACAGAGAAAGACTAATGGAAAAGGGGAAAATGGTAATAATAGTTGTATTGTTTAGTGAGATCAGAGGTAAACACTTCTGTATTTTTTCAGGTGGTATACACCACCATGATAATATTTTTCATGCAAAAAAGCAACTAATAGGCCTAACCCATTTGGCTCAGTGGTTAAGCATCAGCCCTCAAACTGAAGGGTCTCAGGTTTGATTCTGGTCAAAGGCATGTATCTCAGTTGCAAACTCAATCCCCAGCCCTAGTCAGGGCAAGTGTGGGAGGCAACCAATTGATGTGTTTTTCCCACACTGACATTTCTCTCTCTCTGTCTCTCCCCTTCCCTTCCACTCTCTAAAAATCAATGGAAAAAATTATCTTTGGATGAGGATTAACAAATATATATTTTTTTAAAAAAATTTTTACGCATTTAAAAAAATAGGAAAGTTAAGAAGCAGTCTCCAAGGCTCCTCCGGGTATTAAATCAATCCAAGTGTGCTGATAGGTGACCATGCAGACTAAGGCTGATTTGGACAGAAAAGGAATGTATAAAAAGATTATTGAGTAGCTCACAGACTTAAGAAACAAATAGGCAAAAAGTCTTACAGAGAAAAGAAAAGAAAAAAAAAAAAAGCAGTGACCAAAGACTGTTGAGAAAACAAGAACACAGCCAAGGAAAAATATAGAGACCTCTAGGGCAGACACAACCACTATAAAACCCTCCTGCCATGGTGGCTGCTGGTCTCTTGACCCCATTGCTGCTGCCAAAAGAATCTGTCTTTTCATCTGTGCTTCATCACCTCTAGATCAAGACCCTGGTTAGAAGCATCCACTTGGTCAAGTCTTGGTCACACACCTCTGTCACAAGCTTCCCAAGTGGGAGGCCCAGCTTGTATTTAGCCAAAACCCACAAAATGATGAAGGAGGAGGTTCTTCACAAAAAGAAGAATCTGAAAATGGTGGGTGACCAAACACAACAAATGTACACGACTACGGTCACTTCATTTCCGACTCTCTTTCTCCTTGTTTCTATCTGCCTGGAGTCACACCTGCCAGCATTACTCAATGGCCCTCAAAGTTACAGAATCCACAGTAACACAGGTAACCATGGGATCCATATCTTTCCCAGCTCAAGGACCTGGGGGTGTGTATAGGTTTGGCTTAAGAAGATTCCAGCGGTACTCCAACTGGAGAGAACCTACTGACCACAACCCCAAAAGGCTCCAGACACAGGCACACTGCCTTCCCTGCTGGGTCCCCCAGAAAGGCCACTGAACCTCTGCCCAAGGACCACACTGTCCCAGTCAAGCCTGACTCAGTGAGGGCACTAAGTACTCATCTCTCAAATCCATTTTTTTCACAGAGGAACATGTGGACATCTCATGGTTCCACGTAGCACACTTTAAAGAGGATGGGATACTTCTGGAGAAGCCAACCAGGGTGGAGCCACGTTACACAGTCCTCGAGAACCCCAGCTTCTCCCCCATGGGAGTTCTACTGAGAAAGATCCACTACCAGGGGTAGAACCTGCAACCAAGCTACCCGCACAAGACCTCTCATCTCCAACGTGCTGCTCTACCATCGCCTCCATCCTGAGGAAGTCAACTTCCACCTCTACCTATTCCCCAGTGACTGCACCATTGAGAAGGTACTCCAATAGCCAGACAATCAGGCCAGGGTGGGCTGGCAAAGACATGACATGCATCCAGAAAGCCCCTTGGATGGGTCAACTGGGCATAAGGATAGGACATGGATTAGTCTCCTAGGTCCCTAAGGCCTCCCCCAACTGAATTCACTGCTCCATTACTCATTGCTGGACACATTTTGCAATCTATTTCCAGGAGTCAGAAGGATAGGAGGGCTCCATGCCCAGAGGTATACCCACTTCTCCATTCTCACTTCTTCTCTAACAGTGCTCCAATTCCCATCCTGAACATAACACAGATCAAGTGTGGGGATCTCTGTGTAGCAGTCATGGGGAATAAGGAAGGAGTTCATGGGTGGTATAGCCTCCCCTCCACCAACATCAACATGTGAAAGTCCCATCTCACTTTGTTAAAATCAGAGTCCAAAGGGTGGAATCTCCGAGTGAG